TGACACGCGAAAACGGAACCTTTAGACGAAATGTTTAAGTCGAACTGACGTTATCTAAAGAGTTGCTGAAGGCACACAAGGGACGAGCGTTTGTGGAACCTTTATCGAACTCACGTTATAAAATGGAAGAGCCTTGTCATCAGCGGGTAGTTGATGACAAGGCTCCAGTTATATTCACTCAATAGTGAGGTTATTCAAAGGGCTGAAGTTTCCCGTCTCTCACGATGTGTACAATCCGTTCTTCAACCCGATCATACATCGCCTCGCCGTGGTCATCAAACGAAAAATTGCCTAAAATCGTCGGGAAATCCTTCGTCTGTGCTAAGGCATCCCGAATCGCGGCTGAATCTGTCGATTGGGCATTCGCAATCGCGTTGGCGAGGATATAGAGCGTCGCATACGCCTGCGCCTCCCACGGTCCAGGTTCATGACCGTATTTCGCCCGATAATTCTGGACGAAGGCTTGGCTTCCCGGTGCGTCAGACCCAACAGACCATCCAGAAAAAGTTATCGCACCCTCGGCGGCATCGCCTGCTGTTTGGATCTCTTTTGCAGTCAAATCAGGAACAATAAAGTGAACAGCATCGGGAATACCGATCGCTCGCCCTTGAGCGATAACCTGCGTCATCTGTGATGACAGAGCAGAGATAAAGACCGCCTCAGGCTCCATGTTCATGATATTGGTCAATTGCGCAGAAAAATCGGTGTCGCCGGTTTGGAAGGTTTCCTCCGTCAGAATCTCAACACCGCCTGCCTCAAGTGCTTTTCTTATCTCATCATTGCTACTTGTGGAGTAGGCATCAGCGGCATCATATATCGTCGCGACCTGTTTATACCCGAGTTTTGCCTGCGTCGTTCTCATACCAACCGGGGACAGTATATTTACGGCGAGACCCGCGCGAAAGACATAATCCCCAATGCTGCTTAAACCCGCAGCGGAGGAGATCGGACTAAAAGCGACACCCCACTGTCTTGCGCAATCGGAAAAGCATCTTTGAGATGCGTCGAGATACCAATGCCGACGATGGCAGGTACACCTTGATCCACCAATTGCTGGACGGCTGCAACCCCGCCCTCTACGGTGCTTTGCGCGTCCACGGGAATGAGCGTGAGGTTCGCATCGCTGAGCATATTAATCTCTTCTCTTGCCAACTCAAAGCCGCGTTTCATTGGGAGTCCATACGGTTCGGCGTTGCTCCTGTCAGAGCTACCGCCACACCGATGGGAATCTCACCATCCATCATCGGAGGCATTGCGGTCGTCAGGCACCATCGGAGCGATCTTTTCGCAACCGGAAAGCCCGACTGTCAAAGCAACAATCGCGAATGCAAACGCGAATGTTATGATTCTTCTTACAGTCATGTTAAATCTCCTTTATTATTAACTATTTCTATATGAAACGTTCAGGCGGATCAATAAAAAAATCGCCCTTAAACCAGATCCGCTGTCGTCAGAGAGTACAAATTTTGCATTAAGCCCCCATTGATACCCCAAAACCGCTTTGGAGACCAAGCACTCCAAGACAACGTTCTGATGCGAAAAACTTAATCTTCGCCAACTATTGTTTCATAGTTGGAAGTTGTTGTCAATTCAAAAAACGGAGAGATACAGTTCTCGGTTTCAGTTACCATTAACAGAGCGTATAGCGTTTAATTGTTAGAATCAGGATTCACAGGATTAGAGGATGGACAGGATTGAAAAGAGGCGAGGTGTTTTTGCTTGGGTGTTTCCCCAGGAAACCTCGCCAGCAACGGACATAAGAAAATCGGGGTTACAAACCCCTCCCACATTACCGATATTAAAATACTTAAACTTCATCAACCGCTCCTACCGGGACTGGGAATGCATACGTCCAAAACTTTCATAGTTTTTGCGTCAATAATTGCAGTAGCAAGATTCCCGCGACTGTGATTAGAGAAACTGACTATCCACGCGAACCCTTGAAAAGATAGATATGCGTGAACTCCGTTTTGACCGGCTAAAGTTGTTTTCACTCGTGCATCCGATTTTGCGATCTGAAAATAGCCGTCAGCTATCAGGGCGCATTGCTGCGCAATACTTTCAGCAGTCAGCCAGAGACTGGACTGGAAGATTGGAATTGGAAGATTGGAACTGCTGACCGACTTACCGCTTGACGAAGCCACCCATCTGAAGCCGATAGCCAATTTGCTGAGAGGAAACGGTCTGAATTGCAAGCGAATTTGATATCCGTCTGCCTTTGTCTATCTCGGGTGGTAACGTCATTGGATTTTGCTTCGCGAGTTCGCGAAGATGCATTGCATGTCGGAGATAGACATCCCGAAATTTCTCATAACGCTTGAGTCCGTGTGCGATCGGAATTTGTTGATACTGCGCGGCACACATCTCCGCGGCATCCGCTTCGAGACGTAAGACCTTGGCATAATTCCCCTCCTGCTCTGCCAACTCCCGCTGTTTCCTGAAAAACGTGGGATAGATACCAAATTCGTAAAACCGGTTCGGGTAGCGCGGCAGCCACGTTGCGATAAATTTTTCGATGTTCCGGCGTTCAGCATCCAGCACTGAAAAGACATCGGGGTTACAAACCCCTCCCACAAAGTCCTCATACACAAAGGAGTCGCGGGGACAAACCCCTCTCACAAAGTCCTCATACACAAAGGAGTCGCGGGGACAAACCTCTCTCACAAATTTCTGCCATGCGACCTCGGCACTCGTGCGGTGGTGCAGATACTGTGTCCGAATCTCGTATGCCTCTTTTTCAGCGCGCACTGTCCACTTCTCGTATCCGCGCTGCGTATAGTAAGCGTGGGCAATCTCGTTCATCGGAAGAGAGATGCGTGTGAGGCATTCTGCGGCGGCTTCGTGCCAGAGGGCAAGTCTACCATAATCGCCGGACTGTGCATAGCGTTTGATAAAGACCCCAGCGGTCGCTGTGCCTTCTCGGATTGCCATAGATGGCTGCGCGGTTAGACAGCAAAATCGGAAAAAGTGATAGTGCCCGAATCAAAGGGTGTTCTCCCTTTCTGAATCGTGGATTGAACAATGTGGACGGAAACCGAGCGGAGTCTGCATACTACCTTGTGGACGGAAACCGAGCGGAGTCTGCCTACTACTTTAGCATCATGCGAACGGTTCCAGAGAACGCCTCATCAGGGGCAAGCACAATCACGCCTGCGGGGATACCCCTTGCCTCTAAATTGATGGCATCCGTTGGGCAGGTGTAAGGCTCAAAACAGATGGCGTTCCTATTAGGCGGTGTATAGACAACGAGCTCCCTGAACTGCGCATCCGATTCCATCACCATGCCGTATCCGGTATCCCGGTTCTCAATGAGACATCGACTTACGCCATCAACCCATTGAACGTCCGTAAAGACATGGTCGAGTTTCAGTTTCGCAAACGGTTGCCCACTCCGCAGATCCAGTGTGTCAGCGACATCGTGTTGTGTCCCGGTTGGCACGAGTACATCGTCCAATTCCCAATACTTGGCAGCAGGTACGGTAATTATCGCTTCGGCGGCATTCGCCTCGGTGCCGAGGTCTACGCTAAAATAGGGGTGGATACCGAACCCAACAGGCATATTCCGATCGCCCGTATTCTTGATAGCAATCCCCATCGTTAACACGGCATCTTTGAGGGTATAGGCAATCTCAATTCTGAAAGGGAACGGATACTGGCGACCGACATCCGGAAAATCTTGAGAATTAAGTGAGCATACAAGTGTTGCTCCGTTTTCATCGGCGACATGGCTTTCAACCTGATACGGTAGATTCAACAACAAGCCGTGGATTGTCGTTGGAGAGTCCGGTGCTTTGTCAAACTGATAGGTTTTTCCCTCAAATTGCCACGTGCCGTTGCGGATTCGATTGGGGAAGGGAAACAGAATCGGATTGCCGTAGGCGGTCGGACGTGCCTCCAAAGTAGCGAGATCTGGCGGGGCATCTATCAGGTTCAACCAAGTATCCCCATCTGCGACTTTGAAGGCGTAGCAGTTATTACCGAGTGCAGGCACAATCTCAGCGACGGCTTTTCCATCTTGCTGGATGTAGTAAACTTGAAAACCTTCGACCGTCTTCACTACCACTGAATACATTGTATGCGCCATCGTTTTCTCTCCATGTGCGTTTGCGAGTATCGTTGAAAGTAAAAAAAGAACACAACTTATTCCAATGCGGAGCGCGCGGTGCCAGATCCCCCCTCCAGATCGACGAAAAGAAAAAGAAAAAATACCCATTATTGATTAGCACCTCTCTTATGCTTTACGGCAGCCACGCCCACCCGGCGCGTGCCTACTACTTTTGAGCGCACCAGCGAATGCCGCGCTCCAGTACCTCTCGGAAGTTCGGATTAGAAAAGGTAACATCGTCGTGTCCACTCTGGAAACAGAAGATGCGAGAATTGCCGTATTCACGCGCCCATCCCAACACATCCATACTGTTCGGATGATCGACAGTCAACAGGATCGAGCTATCATCATCAGCGGACTCCATGGTATAGGTTTCGTCACCCATCTCCCATTCGGTGAGACCTTCTGTGATTGGATGCGCCGCATCAGCGATTTGCACCTGTAGCGTTTGCCGAGGATAGTAGCCAAAACCGCGTTCATGGATACCACACATTTCAGAATAGGCATCCCAATCTGGAAACGCTAAGATGGCGTGATGCAGAATGATCATGCCCTGTCCACGTTCCGTTAAACCGAGGATAGCCTGTGCTTGCGCATCCGTCGGATAGGGACGGTGAAAGTTGTAAAAGACGACGGTATCGTAGTCGTTTTGGCTTGGATCGTCTACAAAATCGTCCAGATCCTCTCGGATGAATTGAATCCCTTCCATACTTTCAAAAACTGCGTCAAACTGTTTTTCTTGGAAGCCGTGTTCTCCAGTTACGATTGCGATTTTCATAATTTTTCTCCTTTCAGAGTTTTTATAGTAAAGCCGACAATTAACCATACATGTGCGAGGTTAGAAACCTCGCCAGCGAAGGAGGACAATTGTGTGGAAACCCGTAGAAAGAAATTCTTAATACCGCATCCACTGCCACAATTGTCCCAAGGTGGGACGTTTGCCGTACATCAGAATCCCAACCCGATAGATTTTTCCGCTGATAAGTGTGACGAGCAGCACAGTCGCACACATCAACAAAATGTTCAGTAGAATTTCCCATAGAGGTGGCATTAGCACGTTGATTCGCATGAACATCAGTATCGGCGAGAAAAACGGAATATGAGAGAGAACTATAGCAAATGGTGCATCAGGCATTTTGAACAATTGGACCATTAGCACCACCGGAACAGAAGGCACAATGGCGAGCAGGACACCGAATTGCTGTGCATCTTCGTTGCTGCTGCAAATCGCACCGACTGCCGCATAAAGCGCTGAATAAAGGACGAAGCCGCAAATGAAATATATCAAAAAGTAGATAAGCACATTCGTACTACTGGCTTTAATGAGAGCAATAGCGATCAATAAAGACTGTTGGGCATCTATACCAAAGGCATCAAGCAATAAATTGAAATTGTTTATCAGCATCGCACCGAATATCACCCAAATCGCAAAAATTGTCAAACAGGCGGCACACACACCAATAAGTTTACCAAACAAGAGGTGATACGGTTTAATTGACGAGACGATTACTTCAACAATACCTGTTGTTTTTTCTTCAAGAACGTTTTGCATGACAGAGTTCGCATACATGAGGATAAACAAATACAGTAGGAAAATAAGGAGAAATGCTATGCCACGCTGGAATTGCGCTTCTGTTTTTCGCTCAACCTGAATTTCTCCGGTGTCACTATCACCAATAACAGCGAATGTGTCGAGTGTGACAGGACGCATCAATCGTTTTATTTCCGGAGGCGAATAATTGCTTTCATCAAATCGCTTGTTTCTAACAACATCTGTGAGAATACCGCTCAAGACGTTTTGTAACTCAAAATTAGTGGTAGTCTTGGCGTGGTAGTAAACTCTTCCATCTTCAAAAACATTTTTTGGAATGTCAAGATAGGCGTAAATCTCTCTAGTAGAAACTTGTTGATTAAGCTCGGATTTTACATCGCCCGTGGCATCTGATATCTGATGAATTAGTTGATAGCGTAACTTCCCTTTATATTCAAAAATGGGATGTTGCACAATTCTAGCTTTCAATTCTGGGAAAATGTCGCTTGTTTCATCAATCACTACGATCCTTCTCACACTCACTGTTTTCTGCTCTATCATAGCCATAAAACTCGGCAGGAGTATTACAGTGCACATCAGCATTGGCATCAGGAACACCGAAGCCACAAAGCCTTTCGTCCTGACGCGCGTTGTGTATTCACGTTTAATGACGGTAACAATCTTATTCGGCATCTTGCACGACCCTCCATGTGCTTCAACGCTCTGGACGAAAATCTCGTGTAACGTCGGTTCAACTAATTCAAAGCGTGTCACATCAACGCCTTTCTCAACCAGTTCACGGAGCAATGAACGATAGTCTTCCGGGGTCCTCAATTTTACCTCAGCATACTGCCCAAAATCGTTGAATCCCTGAATCCAAGCGGAGTTGCGAATCGATTCGAGACTCCCTACGTATTCAATCTCAACAGAATTCTTGCCGAAAGCACGCTTCACAGCGCGGAGTTCACCTTCAAGCAATACCTCACCGTGATGTATAAGACAGATACGATCACATAGTTTTTCCACCTGTTCCATCACATGGGTTGAGAAGATAATTGTACTGCCGCTATCACGCAGTTCAAGCATCATATCTTTGAGGAGCGTCATGTTAATGGGGTCCAGACCGGAAAAGGGTTCATCAAGGATAATCAACTCCGGTTTGTGAATCACGGTGGTGATGAACTGAATTTTCTGAGCCATCCCCTTAGAAAGCTCATCAACCCGCTTGTTCGCCCATTCCGACAGCTGCATTTTCTCCAACCATCGCTCAATCTCACCGAGTGCTTGTTGTTTGTATAAGCCTTTTAATTCGGCAATAAAAAGGATGACATCCCGCACCTTCATTTTGCGGTATAAGCCACGTTCCTCCGGCAGATATCCAATCTGATCTAAAAAATCTCGAATATGCCGATTGCCGCTGAAGGTAATACTGCCTGCATCCGGTGCGATCATATCCATTATCATGCGGAGCGTGGTTGTTTTTCCTGCACCGTTGGGACCCAGAAGTCCGTATATACTTCCCTTCTCAATACTGAAGGAGATATCCGACACGGCTGTGAAATCGCCAAACTTTTTATGGACATTTTCGAGTTGGAGGAGGTTCATTATTTATTTCCGGATACTTCATGAGAATGTTGAGTTTCACTGACGTTCAACCCAACCTACAAGACTAAAAACACCTATACGTTTTTCTTTCGCTTTACAGCGTTCGTAGTCGCGCAATTCACTGCGCCTCTTTAATATGTTTACGACACGCGGATATGTTTACGACACGCGAATATGTTTACGACACGCGAATATGTTTACGGCACGCGGAGCGTGCCTACTACTTTGCACTAATCGGTAATTGCCTGATAGGTTAGCACGCGGAATTGGGCGAGGAACGGGGAATCGCCGATCAATTGCGTCATCAGGATGCCGATTAAATCTTCCACAGGATCAATCCAAAATGTCGTACTTGCGAGTCCGCCCCAACTGTAAGTCCCTTCAGAACCGGGCGCGTGCGTCTCAGCGACATCCGTGACGACGGCGAATCCAAGTCCGAAACCACATCCTGTTCTCTCAAGCGGTTGCCAATCATCAGAGGTATGATTCATTCTGATGAGTTCGACGGTTTTCTTTCCAAGCAGTCGAACACCATCGAGTTCACCATCGTTGAGTAGCATTTGACAGAAGCGGAGATAATCCGCGGCGGTCGACTGTAGCCCGGCACCACCGGAATGGAAAAAGCTGCGGGGACCGCTTGAAACAGGCGCGTTTTCAATCACCTGAATACCACCGTCCTCGGCAGGTTCATATAACGTTGCGTACCGATCCGCCTTTTCGTCCGGCACTGAGAAAGCGGTGTCCGTCATCCCCAACGGATCCAAAATCTGGGTTTTCAGAAATTCCGCAAACGGTACACCAGAGACGACTTCGACGAGGTAGCCGAGTACATCGGTAGACATACCGTAACTCCACCCAGCACCCGGGTGATATGCGAGTGGGATATTTCCAAGTTCCTGCGCCATGTTGGCGAGGTCTCCGCCGTAGAAATTAGCGTCTTTATATCGCTTATTAATTGGAGGATCCCCGTCACCACCATAGATGAGTCCAGAGGTGTGCGTCAGCAGATGCTTGATTGTCATCTCGCGTTCTGCGTCAACAATAGTCTCGCCACCCTCAGTGTAAACCTGCATGTCCTTGAAAGCAGGAATCAATTCAGAGACGGGCGTACCGAGCTGGAAATGTCCTTTCTCGTAGAGCATCATCACTGCGATGCTGGCAATTGGCTTCGTCATCGAATAGATGCGGAAGATTGTATCAAATTCTAACGGTTTCTCGGTAGCGACATCCTGCATACCGAACTTTTCAAGATGGACGAGTCTGCCCTCACGCGCGATCATCGTTAACGCACCGGGGATTTTTCCATCGTCAACCCAGCCTTGCATGACCGGGCTAATACGCGCTAACCGCGAGGCTGACATGCCTACATCTTCAGGCACTGCGCGCGGTAATCCTTCATACATTGTCATTGAAAACTCCTAAGAGATAGTTGTCGGTTATCAGTTAAAGAGAGTCCGACGGACATTATTTAGCCGTCAGCCGTCAGCCGTCAGCGATCAGCAAAGAGACCTTGTGGCAAACATGTGACGCGTGCATGCCACATGCTGAAAGCCGATGGTTTCCGACAGCCACTAATCAGTCAGTGCCTGATAGGTAAGGACCCGGAATTGGGCGTGTAATGGAGAATCGGCACCGACCAATTGTGTCATAAAAATGCCGATCAACTCTTCCACAGGATCAATCCAAAATGTGGTGCTTGCCATGCCACCCCAACTGCAAGTGCCTAAGGAACCGAGAGCGTGCGTATCAGCGACATTCGTGACAACGGAAAACCCAAGTCCAAAACCAGATCCGGTTCTCTTATTGGGTTGCCAATCATCAGAGATATGATTCATCGTAATGAGTTCGACCGTTTTTCTGCCGAGCAGTCGCACGCCATCGAGTTCACCATCATTGAGCACCATCTGGCAGAAGCGGAGATAATCCGCGGCAGTCGATTGTAGTCCTCCGCCACCAGAGTGGAAAAAACTCAGGGGTCCAGTTGCGGCATGGACCTTCTCAATTGCCTGAAGTTCACCGTCTTCCCCGAATTCATATACCTTTGAATATCGGTCGGCATTTTCAACGCGTACTGAAAAACCGGTGTCATTCATGCCTAAAGGCTCAAAAATACGGGTTTTCAAAAACGTCTCAAACGGCATACCAGAGACGACTCCTACAAGGTAGCCGAGTACATCGGTAGACATACCGTACTTCCATGCGTCACCTGGATGGTGAAGGAGAGGCATACTTCCGAGTTTTTGTATCATGTTTGCGAGGTCACCGCCGTAGAGATCTGCCTCTTCATATCGCTGATCGATCGGGTGATCCTCCCTATCACTTTCATAGATGAGTCCAGCGGTATGCGCGAGTAAATGTTTTATTGTCACCTCGCGTTCCGCATCAACAATAGCACTGCCATCTTCAGTGTAAACCTTCATGTCTTTGAAAGCAGGAACAAATTCGGAGACAGGTGTACTGAGTTGAAAATGCCCTTCTTCGTAGAGCATCATGACAGCGGCACTGGTAATCGGCTTCGTCATCGAGTAGAGGCGGAAGATAGAGTTAAATTCTATCGGTTTGGCGGCAGCGATATCCTGCATGCCAAATTTTTCAAAATGGACGAGCCTGCCCTCACGGGCGATCATGGTCAATGCGCAGGGGATTTTTCCGTTGTCAACATAGCCTTGCATGACCGGCGTAATACGCGCTAACCGCGAGGTTGACATGCCCATATCCTCGGGAATCGCTCGCGGTAATCCTTCACATATTGCCATCAAAATCTCCTATATTAGCCGTCAGTAAAGAGGTGTATGGTAACGGAAATCGCTCGGTTACGCTTGCGTCTTTCGCTGATCGCTGATCGCTGATAGCCATTATTCGGTTAGTGCCTGATAGGTTAGCACCTTAAATTGCTGTTGGAAAGGGTGAGGGTTATTGAGAAGTTGCGTCATGAGCAAGCCGATCAATTCCTCCTGTGGATCAATCCAGAAGATGGTCGCAGCGGCACCGCCCCAACTGAAATTTCCTACCGACTCTAACGTGTTCGGCGGTTCCTTATGGGTGACGACAGCGAAACCGAGTCCAAACCAATCGTCATGATGCGGATACCGCATCAATTCGACCGTTTTCTTCCCTAATATGCGAACACCGTCGAGTTCTCCGCCGTTGAGCAACATCTGAGAAAACCGCATGTAATCTGCAGCGGTTGAGACGAGTCCGCCACCACCCGATGGGAAAAAACTTACCTCATCGTTTGCGAGGGGTGCATCTCCAACACGTTCCAGTCCACCCTCTTTGTCAGGTCTATACAGTGCCGCAAACCTGTCCACCTTCTCTGGTGGCACCGAAAACCCGGTGTCTACCATACCAAGGGGCACAAAGATCCGCGTTTGGAGGAATTCCTCAAACGGCATTCCGGATACCACCTCCACGAGGTAGCCGAGCACATCAGTAGAGACCCCGTAGGTCCACCTTTCATCCGGCTCGTGAACGAGTGGGATGTCGCCGAGTTTCTTCACCATATCAGCCAATGTCGAGCCGTTTTCAAAGATTTTTAGTTCTTTGTAGCGTTCATCGACGGGTTTATCGCCCCAGCCGTAAGTCAACCCAGCGGTATGCATGAGGAGGTGCTTGATCGTTATCTCTTTATTGGCATCCAAGATTTGCGTCTGGTCCTCGTTATAGACCTTCATGTTTTCAAATTCAGGAATAAACTTGGAGACGGGGGTACCGAGTTGAAAATGTCCTTCCTCGTAGAGTATCATCACCGCGACACTGGTAATCGGTTTTGACATGGAGTAGATACGGAATATCGTATCGGATTCGACGGGTTTCTTATTTTCGATATCTTGCATGCCGATGGTTTCAAAATGGACGATTTTTCCGCGTCTGGCTACGACAGTCAGGAATCCGGGGAGGTTTCCCTTATCGACGTAATCCTGCATGACAGGACGGATGCGTTCAAGGCGTTCAGCAGAGACACCGACCTCCTCTGACACCGCCATTGGAAGACCTTGCCCGAATGCGAATGTAGTGACACAAAAAAGCAATAAACATGTGGATGCCAATAATTGACTCAATTCATTCTCCTTCTTTAACCATTGTAATGCAAGCCACCTATTATTCTCATTGCGAAGCAATAGCACTCCGCTGGAGTGCGATAGCTTAAATACGCCGTTTTCTATAGATATAGCACCCCTCCGGGGTGAAGAAAGCACTAAAAAACCTTGTTGAAACGTTCAAAACTTGTTAGTAGCAATTTGAGTTATAATTAACAAGACCCTCTTGAACAAGTGGGGCTACGAACGCATCAGTAGCAAAATCAATATGACGGGGGTGCCTGCTATTTCTCTAAAGATTTTGCGGCTATGGTGCGGTTAGGAATGCAGATCGCATGAATCAACGCCGAGTGCGCGTGTGGCACTCGGCGGGGCGAGTACGCCGCAAACCGCACCTACCGATTTTGAAAAGCCCTATGGTACACGCTTGAGGTATCCCCACCGTGTTGCGAGTTTGCCACCGGGTTCAACGTTGAGAATTGCGGCTAATCCGACATCCATCGCTTCCTGAATTTCCGCTTCGGTTCGTGCGACATTGGAGATGCGTATCTCGTCAATGATACCCTTTAATCCATTTGCGTTATTGAGATTCGGTACGCCAAGTGTAATCGGATCTGCACTCTGAAACGTAGTACCATTGGGTGCTTCGATTTCCAACTCACCATCGACGTAAGCCCGTCCCATCTTGCCATCAAAGGTAAAGGCGAGATGATGCCACTTGTTGTCAGTGATGTCGGTTGTGGCATCTATAGTAAACCCACATGCCCCATTTGCTCCAATTTCCGAATGTAGAACACTCTGATCTACATGAACCCAGATACCGTAGTTACGATTGCCACACCCTGCCTGCTGTTTGCAGACAATACCCTGCCATTTACCTGTGGATTCTTCCACTTTGACCCACGCCTCAATACTGAGCGTTTCCAATTCCAGTTTTTTGGTGGACTTGACGACAACGTATCCACTGTCATCTCCGGGAAATTCTAATCCTCCCCCGAATTCTGCCTTGACCCATTTAGGTTTCCCGGCGAATTCGCCATCGTGTCCGTTGCCGGAAACGTCTTTCACTACATCGCCGGCACCTTCATCAAAGAGCCAGACGGCGACGGTGTTTTCGTCAACCTCTGCCTCTGTAGATGGACCACCGAGCAGTACCAAAACCACTACTGTGATGAAGAGACACTTGATGCTATAGATAGATTTTGTACCTGTAATGCGCATAGTCAGTTCCTCCTTTATTGCGGTATTCTACCAGAAAACGAATGTTAAGTCAAGCATTTGATGGGGCATGCACAGAGACATTCAGTTTTAAGAAATTATCGGATTTCATGCCTTTTTTCACGATCCGGTGCGGTTAGGAAACCGCACCTACCGGGTCTGGGTCATCAAAATTCTCCTAAAGAACGGAAAACTGAATGGCTCCACTCGGAGATAAAAATGTTGACATGAGACGGTGTATTGCATATAATTTCGCATGTTCACTTGTAAGCGCGTGTTGGCCACGCGTGAATCATGAGGGCAACACATAAGGAGGCTTACTTCATGGCAGAACGAATTAAAATGGGATTAGTGGGATGTGGTGGTATGTCTGGGGCGCACATGGGTGGCTATCGCCAACTCTGGTCGAAGGGAATCAGGGATTTTGAAATTGTGGCGGCGTGTGACATCGCAGTGGAACGCGCTGAAGAACGTGCAAATCAGGCACACGAGTTCCAAGGCGGAACGAAGCCAGCGGTCTATGCAGAACTTGACGAGATGTTGGCGAAGCACCCTGATCTGGAGTGCGTTGACATCTGTGCCCTCCACAGTGCACATCATACGCTCGCCGTTCCTGCGCTCGACGCTGGAAAACATGTTATTATTGAAAAGCCGTTCGGTATTACAATGCGGGCATGCAAACTGATGATGGAAGCCGCGGATCGAAACGACAGGATTATTTCCGTCGCTGAAAACTACCGTCTGGCGCGTATCCAACGCACCCGCAGCTGGGCAATCGCCCAAGGCCGTATCGGTGATCCGCGTATGTTCTTCTGGGTAGAGGCCAGCGAAGGCTTAGGGAAATGGGGTTGGCGTAACTTCAAGATGGATGCAGGCGGTGGTTGGGCATTAGACGGCGGCGTGCATTTCACGGATCTGATGCGCTATATTCTCGGTATGGAAGCCGAGGAGGTCTATGCGATCAATAAGGCTTACGAACCTTTCCGCTACGATAACCCGGCAGAAAGAGAAGGCGGATACGCCGTTGACGTTGAGGACGCGATGATCGCCACTATCAAGTTTGAGCAAGGCGTTACAGCGCAGTGGACATGGGTCGGTTCCGCCCCCGGACATCACTTTAACCAGCACACCGTTTACGGCAGCGAAGGCGCGCTCGATTGGAACAGAGGGTTGGTGCCGCGCAGTGGCGAACCGATCTCCAACGATGAACTCATGCAGGAGTTCACGAATAGCCTCAGCGACTCAGAACGGGAATACTACTTCCCGGGTGGCATGGAAGATACCGTCGCAATTGAACTGAAATACTTCGCCGATGCCATTCGGAGCGGGTGGCAAACCGGAAGTGGATGCCGTCGAAGGTATGCGGTCGGAAGCCATCTGCATGGCGGTCTATGAATCGGGATGGTTCGGTCGCCCAGTGACAATTGAGGAGATCGAAAACTGCGAGTTGGAAGGTTATCAGAAGGAAATTAACGATAAGTTAGGGATTGGTGCATAAATGTAAATTTGCGGGCAAATGGGTAATGTAATCCGCTATCCATTGCTGACGAGGTTTCAAACCTCGTCAGCGGCGCGTAAGTCCTCGCAAATTTGCCCATACGGAGCAAACATGAATCGATTGAACGGGAAGGTTGCGATTGTTACAGGTGCAGGGAAAAAAGGGGAAGTTGACGGTACCGGTTATGCGACATCCATGCTCTTCGCGAGAGAGGGTGCGAAAGTACTGTTGGCGGATATCTCCGTTGAGAATGCCAACGCCACACTTTCAGAAATTGAGGCAGAAGGCGGTGAAGCATCGGTGTTCATCGGCGATCTGTCCACAGAGGAAGCCTGCGCTGGGATGGTAGAAGCCGCCGTCGAACGTTTTGGCAAAGTGAATGTGCTCTTCAACAACGTCGGGCTCGGTGGTTCTGGAATGGTCACGCAGGTGGACGAGGCGAAGTGGGACAGAGTCATGGATGTCAATCTCAAAAGCATGATTATGGCGTGCAAACATGCTATTCCGCGGATGGCTGAGGCGGGGGGAGGCTCAATTATCAACGTCTCGTCAATCGATGCGTTGCGTGCGGGTTCATCTCGGAACGTCCCCTACGCCGCCGCGAAGGGTGGGATGATTTCCGCAACAAAGGTGATGGCGGTTCATCACGGACGTGATAAGGTCCGAGTGAATTGCATTGCGCCCGGACATCTCTACGCCTCGTTTCCTGCCCCGTATCTGAGCGAAGCGGAACGGGAGCGGCGACGGCTTATCGGACCCCTCGGTACGGAGGGAACTGCGTGGGATGTCGCCTGGGCAACCGTTTTTCTCGCCAGCGAGGAATCGAAATGGATCTCCGGTGTCATCATTCCGATTGATGCGGGTTTACTCGCGGCGACACCGCTTGCTGTTGTGCATCAACTTGATGAATAGGTGTAGCAAGGTACATAGACTACATCTTACAATAACGCAAGTTGCTACCTGTTTATAGATATAGCACTCCGCTGGAGTGCGATAGCTTAAATACGCCGTTTTCTATAGACATAGCACCCCTCCGGGGTGAAGAAAGTGCTAAAAAACCTTGTTGAAACGTTCAAAACTTGTTAGTAGCAACTTGGGTTACAATAGTTTGAGAAAGAAAGTGGGCAATGGATTGAAATCCATTGCCCATTGTTTAATGGAGTGGAATTAGGACAACACCACGTTCAGAGAAAGCGTTACTGAGACCACCACTTCCTGCTTCAACTTGAACACTTGCTGTGTCCATATACGCACACTTCAGAGGGAAAATCCTATTTTCTTCGGTCCTTATTGCTGGGTATGATCCGGGTCATACATCGGGTCGGTATAGAGCATCATGTTTTTGCTTGACATGAGGTTGTATGTCATGTCGGGCGGCGGAGAATTATCCGACCAATTTTCACCCTTACGATCCCATATTACCTGAACCGATGCTTGATCCTGTGTCGTTTCGAGGAAGATCTGAACGCTGTACGTTGTTGGCACTCCTTGCTTTTCAGGGTCGCCGGGACCGAGGCTGTTGCAGGGTTTGTCGGGATCCCAGCAGTCGACCTCGGTTTGTGAAAATTCCGTTACTGTTGCTCCATCGCTTGGGATTAGCATGAATCCGTTGATTAGGAAATCTGCATCGGCGGATCCCTCTGCTGTTTCCACGCGGACCCTTGTAGTTTTCTGGATAGTATATCCATACTAACCACCCCTGTTTAGACTGATCTGCATCATAATAGTGTGATTGTTGCGCCCAATCGCTATCAGTCGGCCGCACGGTAGCCGTCGCCGTAAATGTCACCGACTGAGTGACTCCAGCAGCAGCCACTGTGACGGTGTACGTGCCAGTCGTTTTACCAAACCGCAGTATGGTGCTGGCTTGACCGTTGAATCTGTGGTCGCACTTGCAGGGCTCAGAACTCCAACGCTTGGACTCACTGTAAAACTTACTGTGGCATCCGGTAACGCAGCACCGTACTGATCCAGTACTTCAACAACGAGAGGGTTTGGCAAGTGTTGATAGGCTTCCTTCTCCTGATAGTCGCCACTGATCTTCCTCAGCGTCGTCGACCGCGGTGGCTCGGTAGCCGTAGCCGTAAATGTTACCCGCTGAGCGATCCCAGCGGCACTCGCTGTGACGGTGTATGTGCTGGCTGTGCCGCCAAGCTGCAACGCCGTGCTTGCTTGACCGTCTGCATCTGTGGTCGCACTCGTAGGACTCAGAACCCCACTGCTTGGATTCACTGTGAAACTCACTGTCACATCCGATAACGCAGCACTGTCCTGATCCAGCACTTTCACAATAAGAGGGTCCGTCAAGTAGTGATTGGTTACCGCACTCTGACTATCGCCACTGACCTTCTCCAGCGTCGTTGCTACTCGGGCAGGGGGTGGCGGGGGCGGTGGTGCGGTAGCCGTCGCTGTAAATGTGACGGACGATACCCCAGGTACATTCGCTGTGACGATGTATTCGCCAACCGTGCCGCCAAGCTGCAGCAGGGTGCTCGCTTCACCGTCTGAATCTGTATCAACACTCGCAGGACTCAGAACCCCATCGGTTGGAGTCACACTGAAACTCACTGTCACACCCGATAGCGGATTACCGTACTGATCAAGAACTGTCACAATAAGAGGGTCCGTCAAGTGGTGACCCGTCTCACCAGTCTGACCATCGCCACTGCCTTGCTCCAGCGTCGCCGCTCGCGGTGGTTCGGTAGCCGTAACCGTAAATGTGACCGATGATAGCCCAGAAACACTCGCTGTGACGGTGTATGTGCCAGCCGTGCTGCCAAGCTGCAATGTGGTGCTTGCCTGACCATCTGACCCTGTGGTCGCACTCGTAGGAGTCAGAACCCCACTGCTTGGAGTCACACTGAAACTCACTGTGACACCTGATAGCACAGCACTGTTCTGATCCAGCACTCTCACAATAAGAGGGTTTGTCAAGTGTCGGTCGGTTTCCGCGCTCTGACCATTTCCACTGAACACCTCCAGCGTCGTCGCTGTTCGTGTTACCGGTTGCTGCGTGCCGCCGTTGTTGCCACCATTGTTGGGTGGCGGATTTCTAACCACTGGAGGTGGTGGTGGTGGCGGCGGACTTCTTCTAACCACTGGAGGAGGTGGTGGTGTGGTGGTGGTGGGTTATTGGCACCCGACTGATCGTTAGTTTGGGTCTGACTTTGCAGTGCCGCCACAATCTCCGTAGTGTCGATTACCCTTTCCGCATGTACAATTTGCTTGCCCTCATAATAAAACGTGTAAATAAGTTTTCTCGGATGGACATGGATGATGGGCGCGTTGCTGGCTACACCTCCCGTTCTCGGAGGTCTAAGTGTTAGGCAAGATGATTCAACTCCGTTATAAAGACAGGCGGTATTTTCAGTCGAGACAAGATACCGGTTTACCATATCGTCTACTGTCAGCACTTGACCTGTATAAGGTGTATCGGAACAACCGATCATACTGAAAAGCATAATTAGGATGCTACTGATTAAACTTAACGACAAAAGTTTGTTTCTTTTCACTACTTGAAAGTCCGCTTGCGTTCCTATTTTTGTTTTGACGCAATGCTGACAGAACATATCACTAATTTTTAACTTTATCTTTTCCATGATATTATTCCTCTGCCGGAAGATCGTGACCACATGAATGGCATATTGAAATCGCAGCACGAATTAGTAGATCTCAATTGAGATAAATGTGCTGCATCTGAAAGAGTTGCCTGCGATGTGTGTTGTCAGAATTGTTCCGTATAGATGTAATATATCAACGTGAGTTTGACTTAAGCACGTCGGGTGAATCAAACGGAATACACAAAATTCCCAGTATTTGGCTCACTTTCAGGTTTCTATCTCACTTCAAGTTTCCGAAACCAGAGTGAAACCCAAACGTCATAATAACCTCAATTGCCACCTAAGCAAAATACCGATTCAAACACCAAAAACTGTATTAAGACAAAAACGCTAATATTATTTTATGTATGTCTTTACGTGGATTATAATACGCAAATTCGACTTTGCAGTTACATACTGTTCCCACTCGGTATGTTACCCAAAAGCGGAAGTGGCGTCGCGATCAGGAGGTCGCTCCTACAGTGATGTGTCTGGATTCGGAGATCCCTCCTACGGGAGAACTATGGTAAATGCCTCCACGTTACCATGAAGAAAAAGAGAACGGGCAATGCCATAGCGTGCATTACCCGTTCGTTGTTTCGGAGAATGTAATTGGAATATCCGTTGGTTAATCTCGTAATTTTTTCAATTCGCCCCACTGCGTAGTCAGCTTACCTTTAGCGGAAACCAACCCTCTCAGGCGGACTGTCGCTAACGTCTGGCGCTCACCATCAAAAGATACGTCTTCAATTTGGTAATAGTAGGCGACGTTTGGCTTCGCCGTGGTGTCTGTCCACGTATAGGTATTCCGTTCAGCGGTGGTGCCTGCCCCCGGAATCAGTTGGGCATTGATGACCTTGAATTCACCCGCCTTCGTTTGACTTCGTAAGATATTGAATCCGGCGTTGTCCATCTCGGACTCGGTCGTCCATTGGATAACGACCGTGCCAGTTTCGGTGCGGTCTGGGCGGAATTGAGACAGTTGGACAGGGAGTGCCTGCCCTGCACGGATACCGGGGCTTCCATGGTCGGTTCTGAGGCCGTACCAGGTTTCAATATTTTTTTCTAATAAGTACAAGAATGAGGTTTCCGCTGCGGCGATCCATCCTTCTGATCGGGTGCCATCGTCTGCTGTACCTCTGCGATGCTGGCGGATGATTGAGGTCCGGTCCCCACCTTCTGTCCATCCGTCCGGTAATTCCCATACGGGTTCATCGGCAGTCCGGATTCTGCCATCAAGGTTTCCAACGTCATCTATCAGGTTATTTCTGCCATCAACGAGTTTGATGTGGAATCCCTCGGTCGGATGTAAGAACGGATCCCGCGAGGAGCGCATACCAAATTCAGCAGCGAGTTCCGGGTAAACTCTGAAGACGCGAGTCGTTACAAAGTGGATGCGATCTGAGTTTCTACCATTCGCTGAGACGATGAGCACTGTTTGATTTGGAGAGATCGTTTTCACGCCTCCACTATCCTTAAAATTAATTGTTCCGGACCGGGGCTCTCTGGCTGAGCGAGGATCGTTGTAGTTTTCAATCCTTAACTCCCATCCATTACCAGCATCTAAGGCAACGGCTGCGGTCTTAGAACTATTGGAAAGTTCAATCCACTGGATTTCATTCGCGCCCCCATCCGTAGCGAACATGATTTCGCTAATCGTCACTGTTCCTTGTCCTGGCGTGGTCCTGGTGAAGTGGTAGTTGCAGCGACTCTGAAACTGAGTGCGGGGGAAGGCGTTATCGCGTTTTGTACTCCACCAGCATCCGCTACAGCTCCCGCTTTGACCTGCACGGACACCACTGTAACACCGGGATCGGGGATGAGTGTTGCGACGTAACTGTTCGTACCGGGGATTGGACTGAGCACGCCGACCGAGGCACCAGATGACGTAAGCTCACTGGCAAGCAGCGTAGCACCTATCTGAAGGGGCTCGTCAAAGGCAATAGTTACGCTATACACACCGTTACCACCTACAGGGACAGGTGTAATCGTCGCGACGGGTCCAGCCGTTCACTGGTAAACGTGCCTTTTGGGAAGATATACGCGCCGTTATGCACGCTTCCACTGTTTATCGTGAGTTATATCCTACCCGGGGGGTAATCGTCACGGTCCAGACTCTTTTGGCGGCATCAGATGTGATACCATTTGTTTGGAATAAATCCACCGGTGACCTGATATCGGCACTCGTCAGTTGTAATTGGCTGTGTTGAGGTTAATTTCACGGTTAAACGACGCGGGTGCCGCTAATGGACCTATCCTCTGACAAAGATGAGGCGGTGGTGCCGCTGCTTCGAACTATCTTAACCAATATTGATCAGCTGCTGCAGTTAGAGCCCCGGAGTGAGTTGATCCTGGGCATTCAGTGTAGGAGTAGTTGTGGCAACCTCTTCTGGCACTTGTATAACTACCTATTATATTCTCCTTGACAGTGACTGTGGTTGTGTATACGCTGCCACTAGTGTTAGATCGAACCGCAGAAGCTGTCGCACCGAGGTGTTCACAATAACACCCTGCTCTCTGCAGCATACAACTTAAATCAGTAGCATCAAAGCCAGTACGGGGTACTAACAGGGAGATTCTCATCATTCTGAAACGTGATGGTTAACTCAAAGTCAACGGCTTCAGCTCTGATGCCGTATACCTGTATGGCGGTGTCGTATCTCATCTCATCTGGAAAACTGACAGGACTGGTGTACGTTTGTTGCGGTTGCGCGTGTCGTAGCGAAGCCAATCCGTAAACGAGTAGCGCTCGCAAAAATTAGATAATTTCAATTATTGAACACCATTCGTAAATTCCTCCTTCAGCAAATTCAAACTCAGGAACACGTTCTTGGTCTTTAAGATTTAGGCATCTTCCTATGCATGCGATTTTGAAGTATGCTCCAGCAAAAAACAGCAAATTTCAATATTTTTCTCCTGAAGGAGTAACGTTATTTTTCTTAGGGGCGTTACGAAAAAAGTGGATTTATTGATTGATGGGGGTGATAATTATGATGGATTTCGCGGGATTTTTTAGAGAGTGTTAGGAAGATTTCATTCCGCGCGAGGATCATACGCGACGGGTCCAAGTGAACTGATGAATACAGACTTACTACGGTACAGTTGGTATTAAGAGCGAGAATCAACAATCCGAAGCAATGACTAGCGATTATTTCTACTGCTTCCTCTGCAGTAACTGAATGTTCTGATGAGCATGCGTTTCTGTATAGACCCATTGCCCCTGCAAACAAATCTGATGTGCCTGTTTTTCATCCGCTGTCTGATTGCGTCTTTCAAATTCCGTTTCAGGATGAATGCCTTTCGCATAATTGATAAGAACCACGATCTTGCTGTGTAACTACCAGCATTGCGAACAGCTACCTCTACCTCTAAATGCTTGAAAAACAGCATATCGTAATCTCCCTCAAAAGAGATGATAACTTCTGGGCTATACTGGGGTTGGTGCAGTTTCTTAGGTAAGAGATTCGCTTTGCGATAAACTTCTAAATCCGTAGATTTTTTTAGTTTGCGGCCCTGTCTCGTAATGAAAATCCTTCCACCATCATAGGACCCTGCTCGACTAAGTGCTATGAGTCCTTCATTTTCCAGCCAAACCCACCCTTCTATGAGTGCTTGGCGAATACTCTCCTGATATTCACTTGGATATTCTTCAACAGTCTCCAGCGAACCAAAATGATAGCGGGTTAATTCCAACGGGTTGGGAATAGAATTAAGGTACTCTAAAATAACGCCTGCTAGTTCCTCTGGTTCAAGATCTAACAGGGAGCTTCATAGTCAGGCATGAGTTCATAAATAGATGACATAATCTCTCTGAAAAGCACTGTGAGGTGTTTTTGATAGGGTGTTTCCCTAAGGAAACCTCGCCAGCGGTTGGCATGTGCTGTTAATTTGACATTAGAACTGTGCAGGGAAGTTTCCGCGTGCGGCATCCATGATCTCGCCTGTGATTTCATCGTGTCCGTTGTCTTTGGCAAAACTTTCAATCCCCATCTTCGCCATCGGACGGACAAACGACGGAATTCGCTCTAAGCGTTCGAGTGCCTCCGCTGTCCAGACGGGACCGGTCGGTTCGGCGGGTTCAGACTCTTCCTGAAATGCGTCCGAGATGGCAGAGGTAAAGGGGCATTTACACCTTCAGTCGTCTCACCGGAACTCATTTCTGGGGACAAACTCGTTAGGCATCGATTCGCTCTTTGCAGTCTCCAATGTGAACTTACCATCTGCATCGGCTGCGCTGCTTCGTTGTTCCCACCGAGTTTGAGATCCAAGGATTTCAGCATCTGGGTCTCTGATGGATTGAGGACATGGCGATCTCTGTAAAGCAGTCAGGACATTCAAAAAGTGCTGTCACGGAGCCTTGTTCGGGACGGGTTACGTCTTTAAAACTTCATCGCTGTGTCACGTCTGTACACAAAAATTTCATTTTTTAATTTTCCTTTTTAATTTTCCTTGCGGAGAAACAGCGGACGTTTCAACTTTGACATGTCGTTCCTTCACATCGCTCTGCAAATGTAACAAAGACAAACTATGCTCATAAATCCGCTCTCCATTACATTACGAGCTACGGGTTTTGAGGCTATCGTAACCTAAATGACCACCTTGCAGCATAGCCTGTTAGGCTGTTTTTAATTTTTCCTTGCGGGAAACAGCGGACGTTCAACTTTGCATGCGTCCTAAATCCGCTCCATTACATACGAGCTACGGTTTGGGCTCGAACCTAAAGACACCTGAGACATATTTATCGGCTTGACTCATAGACTTTGAAAAAAGGCTTGAACTTTTTCAGCCACTTCCATGAGCACCTTGCTCGCGGGAGCATCCGGGTATTCATCAAGATAAAGGGTTCCGTCGTCGCTGGAACGGGCGAGCCTCGGATCAAAGGGGACGCTGCCGAGGACTACCTGTTGAAATGCAGCGTCGGGTGTCTCGCCAGCGGTAAAGAGAGGTTCCTCCTCGCCACAGTGTTGACAGACGTAGAAAGCCATATTCTCGACAACACCGATGATTGGAACCTTGAGAATGTCTCTCGCCATCGTCACCGATTTTTTGACGATGAGTTGCGAGACCTCAGACGGGATTGTCACCACGACTACACCGCCAAGGTCAGGAATGAGTTCTGCTACATTTGGGAGTCGATCGGTTCCGGGGGGCAGATCCAGCAGGAGATAATCCAACGCTCCCCATTCGGTGTCGGCGATGAACTCTCGGAGGGCACCGACCTCCATCGTGCTACGCCACGTGAACGCATCCTTCTGGGTAGAAGCACTCCAGAGTACCGGGGCATCGTCTTCTGCCAAGAGTAAATCCATAGAGATAAGTTTCGTGCCGAGTGCGGTAATAGCAGGCTTGACCCCCGCGGGTGTGTATTCCAGCGTAGCGTCACGCACCCCCATCATCTTGGCAAGCGTTGGTCCGTTGATGTCCGCATCGACGACCCCGACAGTCTTACCCTTCAGCGTAAGCGCGGTAGCGAGGTTCGCGGTGAGTGAACTCTTGCCAACACCCCCTTTCCCGCTCATAATCGCGACGGTGTGTTTGACGGAGGCAAGCCGTTTCTGGAGTCGGTTCGCCTGCGCTGTGACTTGCCCGATAATGTTGGAGCCAGCATCGCTTGGCAGTTCTTCGTAACTTTTCATTATTTTTAATTTTACCTTGCGGTTTTTCTAATTTACCTTGCGGTTCGGTCAGGTCAATTGAGTGAATAACATCACTCGCCGTATATCCGTCCTCCACTACGTTACGGACTATGCACTTAGGATTATCCTAAAAATCTCTAAATCCCATAAATCAGAGTTCAGACTTTCTTCTTTAAATCCGCCCTCCGCTACGCTTACGGGCTCCAGTCTTGTTAGAATCCGAGATTCAGACACCTGCGCAAAATTAAATATCATTCTTTCCGACCAATGGCATAGAGTGCCTGATAACTCCGCAGATAGAGCGTCCCATTTGCGAGAACAGGGGACGCCGCGATGACCTCACCCATGGAATTGCTGGCGACGATTTCAAATTCACGTCCTGCCTTTACTACGGTAACAACTCCGTCACGAGATGTTAGATAGACATACCCATTCGCATAGATCGGCGAGGCGCGATGTCGGTGTCGATGTGTTCGTTCACGATAGAGTTGTTCGCCCGTCTCGGCATCAAGACATATCAGATCGCCGTTTTCTCGACAGAGATAAATTAAACCGTCGTGGATAAGCGGGGAGGGAACATCCGGTGTGCCTTGTTGAAGCTTCCAACGTTGCCATTCGCCGTTCGTGATATCACCCTGTGCAGCCGGATCAATGCCCACAACGGGTCCATTTTTCGCCGAGGGGACGACGATAAGCCCCTCTGTTGCGACAGGAGAAGCGACGAACCGGAGGCTGTAGTTATAACGCTCTTTCGGATTCAAGTCGCCGCATCTCCAGATTTCGCTACCATCTTCGAGACTGTGTGCAGTGACATAATCTGCGCCGTGTACGACGAGATATTCACGTTCTGAATCACGGTAGAGAATAGGAGAGGTATAGGCTTGTTCACACTCCTCGGTTGCGTCGCTTTCGCGTTTATGCTTCCAAATCTCTTTCCCCGTCATTCTGTCGAGTGCCAGCACGAGCCATGCATTGCTGTGGATGAGTTGGATGTAAAGCCGATCCTTGTCAAGCAGCGGGGTTGTTGACATGACGAAATAGAGGTTAAAGCTACCGTAACGGTCAGCGAGATTGGTATGCCAGACCTGATTCCCATCGAAATCGTAGCAGGCGAGGTCTCCGGTACCGAGGAACGCCCAGACATGTTCGCCATCGGTCACGGGAGAGGGAGCGGCAGAATTGCCTTCGCCGCCGTTGACGACGCGGTTGCCATGTCCTAAAGTCCGCTTCCAGAGTTCTTCGCCTCCGGTACTGATACACATCAAAACAAGTGTGTTGCCTTCAGCAGAGGTGAGGAAAATTTTATCTTCCCAGACAACGGGGGTAGAGGCGGCGGCACCGGGAAGCGGCAAACGCCATCGGACGTTCTCGGTTTGGCTCCATTGGATAGGCGCGTTGGTCTCTTGGCTGATGCCATCGTTGTTCGGTCCACGCCACTGGTGCCAATTGTTAGCAGACAAAGACCCTACAAGATAAAAACCCCAAGTAGGAGTGTGAGTGTATTTCGTAAAACATATCGCATGATAAGCCTCCGTCTCTCAGCAAACTTTGTTGAGGGTCTGCACCCCTTATATGACGTATTTATAGTAAAGTCCACAATTACTTGGACATCATGGATGGGCGAGGTTAAAAACCTCGCCAGCGGTGGAGTGGGGTTGGTGCCTCCTGAGATGTCTACATATTTTCGGGCTTTACTATAACAATCGATGACACTGCCGAGTTTCAACGATTTTCGTCTGTCCACAAGCCTCTATCAGGACCATTCCACTGATAAGGCACTATTTTTCATAAACTCCCCACACTGTATTCCAGAAACTCATGCCCTGCTCTCTATAACATAGCCTTCATTTGTGAAAACGGGAAACTCCAGATTGGAGAGGGACGCGAAAGGTTCAATTTCCAGCCACACGTCAAGCTTACCTTCCACGGTCTTGTAAAAAAGATCTGCGGAGTGGCTTTCATGTTTCAGAATCATAATAGTGCCGGACTGCCGAACCTCGCCATTAGACGAGCGTACCCTCACACCGACAACAAGATCCTCTGGTGGCGGGGGATTCGATTGAACCTTAAACCATAAACCTTGGACTGAGCCTTCCGCTGCGCCCTCATTGGGACCAAGGATTTGGAATGTGGCTGTTGGAATCTCCTGCATAATTTGCCTCCCCGTTCTGATGATTTCTTTGACAATCGTCATTGTGCGGAAATAGTCGGGAATCGGAGTTCCTTCTACAGAAATCCCGTAGAAATAGTCGGGAATCAGAGTTCCCTCCTACAGAAATCCTGTAGTTCTTCGGTAATCACCGTTTAGTCCTGATCTGGCTGTTGATAGTACTGCCCAAGCACCTCATTGGCAAGACTTCTGCCGTCCTCAATGACGCGTGCGGCGAAATCAAGCGTAACTTGGGGAACGTCGTTCTCTTGCGCTCGCTGTTCAATCCGAGTTTGCGTGATATTTCGCATAAACCCAGCAGGCACTAAGTTCAAGCGTTCGATTGCCTCCTCGGTCCATTGCACCGGACTTTCAAAGCCCTGAACGACATCAACATTCTGAGCGTCGGTCTGCGCTTGCACGGCTCGGAGTTCGGGAGCATCTTCACGGACTGCCGCCGCTTCACCCATACTGTCGTCAATAATCTCGGTTGCGAAGGCGTTTGTAATCGTGGCAATCTTTTGAGAACGTGCGGATTTCTCGATGCGTGCTTTGACGTTTCGGCGCATATAGCCGCGTGGAACACGCCGCAGTGCCTTTTTCGACTGCTCCGACCATTGGAGTCGCACGCCATCAAACGTCTCTTCTTCGGCAGTGCCGCCTTCGTCTACAGCGACATGCTGCAGCGAACTCTTGTCAACCATCTGAAAACGCTCCGGCAATGAACTACAGACGGGACATTTCACGGGCTGTTGGTTGTGCGCGGCGTAGCCACATTCGCCACAGATGTACGTTTGTACGGCATCCGATTCCAGGACTTTCTGTTCGGCGATTTCCTTCGCGACACGCGTCAACTTTTCAGAGGCACGTTGCGGCATAATGGCTTCCATCGCCATGTCAATGACGCTCTCGGTAATTACGGAATGCCCGCGTTCTATAGCAAACCGATGGACGGCTGTCTTCGCGATGCCACGGACGAGCGGTGGTGCTTTTCTCCATCCTATCCAACGCCTCCTGCGTCCAGACGAGCGTCTCCTCCGCCTTTACATCGATTTGTGGGAAATAACGTTGACTCGATAAGAAGACATTGCAAGGCGCAAGACGCAACAGATTTTCGGCAGTGCAACCGATGTCCATATCCTGTTCACTGTGGACTCCGATTCTGCCTAAAGACCAGGAGCCATGGGTTTGTTTTTCGTGCATATTGTAGGATTTTTTCGTAGGCTTTTCCATCAAGTAGGGTAATTTTTAGAGCGTAGTCGTGTTCCTCTTTTGCGATGGAGCGTGCAACCTCCAAGTGCGACTGATAGATTTTTGCCAACCCTGTATCAATCACCTCTTCGTGGAGTTGCTCCTGTTCCTTAAATCTGAAAGTCCTCGCGGCGCGTTCCGTGAGTACATTCACAACGGAATTGAAGACGATGTAGTGTAGATACGGATCATAGACACCAACGGCTTCGACCTGTCTATTGAGCTTATGTCCGAGTTGTATCGCGGTTTTCAAGCCTGAGAAAGATTCCGGACTCCCATCAATCCCGACGAGGATATTTCCTTTGCGCTCTTCAATCGATTCAAGGTCCCGGACGATAAGCGTATCGGTATTAATACGGCGGACGACGCGTTCGCAGACACCACCGATGAGGCTATCCTTGACGGCACCCATACCGAGTGCCCCCATAATCACAAGATCGTAATCGCCTTCCTGAATGTCCTCAACGAGTTTTATGAAGTGTTTGCCTTCCGGCATTCTCGCTTCAAATGGAATCTCAAATTCAGCGCACTTCTGCTGCATCACCTCAAGATAGGAATCCGAGATGAGTTGGAGTCCCATCGTAATGAGCGTATCGTGGATACGGCGCTGCTTTTCAAGCTCGACCTCGTCCTGATACTCCTCTGGCAGGGTGTACTCCATCTGTTTAAAGCGAACATCGTGCATTTTTGCGGCGTAAACGTGCGAACCTACCAATTCAGATCCGAACTTCCTCGCGAACGCAACTGCCAGCGCGATACTCGCGTCCGAGTAGTCCGAATTGTCAACGGGTACGTAGATTTTTTTGATCATTTTTTTTCTCACTTGTCATTCAAAAGAGAGGAACTTAGTCTGTCTCACTCTGTTCACTTGGTTTGTAGCGAGCCCTCAGAAAACCACCGAGTATATGCGCAATCAACGTTGCGGGCCAGAGGTAAACCATTGCGGTTTGCCATTCCCAGTGGAGGACAAAACGCCGCACAACGATGTTAATAACAATCGGTATGTAGAGGCATCTGCTCCACGGACGACTGAATCTCTTAAACTGCCCGCGGTAAAATCCGAAAGTGAAATGAATCACAAAAGCCGCGACGGAAATTAATAGGTTCACATTTTTCATTTCTCGAGAAGTGTGTTAACATCCCGTCGTAGGCGCAGCAGTGCCGGTTTGCTCCGACTATCATAGTGTCCATAGACGTTCCCATCCGGCGTGATGAGAACGAACCGCGTGCTATGAAGTATTTCGGTGCCGTTGTGTCCCGCGGCTAAACTGAAACCCTCTTCGGCTAACTGGTAGATATGCGTCTTGTCCCCAGTAAGAAAGTGCCAACGCCTCTCGTCAGCACCATAAGCCGTTGCGTAGCGCGAGAGGACGTTTGATGTATCCCGCTCCGGATCCACGGAGAAGGAGACGAAATAGACCGGGTCTGCAACAAATTCGGATTGAAGACGTGCCATCTCCTGTGTCATTGCCGGACAAATGGTTGGGCAATTGGTGAAGATAAAGTCTGCAACCCAAATTTTGCCCTTCATGTCGGACAGTGTTAACGGCTCTCCCTGCTGTGTCGTCAGGCTAAAGTCTGGAACGCTGACGGCAGCACTCTTAGAAACCGGTACTTCCGATTTGGTGTCAAATACCGACCACAAATTGACACTCGCGATGCCGATAATGATAATACCCAGCACTACCCAGATCAGGGCGCTTTTGTCAAGTCGCCGTTTAATCTTGTTGGCATTCCCGATTTGTGTTTCCATATCCAGCACCATAAGCGTCAAATTTAGGAAGCAGGTGAACGTGTTGTTCTTGAAGTATTGTTATGTCCGTATTGTCTGAATCGCGGATTATCGCGGATTTATCAGATTTCGCGGATTTTAGGCTTCCTGTGTATCCAACGTCTTAGTAATATGTTGGGTTTCACTCGGTATCTCTGTAATCGCAGGTGTATAGTTCAAACACCGTTTTTTGAGATGCGAACGTTTGCTCCAGCCCGTTCAACCCAACCTACGGTAGCACTGTCCTTGGGTTAAGCCCGGTTCGGTTAGGAAACCGAACCTACCGGGCCTGGGGACCGCTAAATTTACACCTATTATGGTGTTTCCACATCCAGCACCAACCAGTAGTTAGTGAGAGGACGTATCAACAACTTCCACCGCCGATTTTTCTACACCTTCGTGTCGGGCATCTGATGTGAGGTCGGGCATCAACGCGAAAACGAGAAGAACGCAGATAAATGAAAGGTGTTATCACGATAATCGCCAATGTTCTCTTTTCAAACTTCAGATGCATGAAATAGTTAGCAACTAAGACTGCCTTAGAACATGCCAACCCGATGAGTAGTATGCCTTTGAGTAAGGGAACGTACTCAGGGATCGCCACAGCAATCTCAATAATGGTGAGCGCAACGAGCCACCAAAAAATATTGATGTATTTCGGATGCTCTTTGTGTCCGTCCTGTGCCATTTTATGTCCTCCTATATTAGATAGATGAAGGTGAAGACCATAATCCAAATAAGATCGACGAAATGCCAATAGAGCCCGACGATTTCCACCTCATGGTGAAACTCAGCCGTATATCTGCCGCGTAAGCCGTGTATCAAGATAACAATAAGATAGATGACACCACCGGTCACGTGCATCCCGTGGAAACCTGTGATGGCGTAGAAAGTTGGACCAAAAAGGTTCGAGCCGCTAATCGCTGCGCCCGACAACCCGTGGCCGGGGATACCGGTAAGTGTCAATCCGTGATGGATTAGATGATACCATTCATAAGCCTGTAGTCCGAGGAAGATTACGCCTCCCCCGATCGTCAACCCAAGGAACATGCACATGCGTGAGACATTGCCGCTCTGAATCGACTCCAATGCTTTCACCATCGTGACACTACTGCATATCAACAGAAATGTCATAAACGCGGTTAGGTTAATGCCGAGAATCTCACTTGGCATCACCCATCCGACTGCGCCTGCACCTACCCGGATAGCTCCATAAGCCGCCAGCAGCGCGCCAAACGACATGGTGTCTCCGGCGAGGAAAACCCACATGCCGAGTTTACCGAGGCTGTCCGGTGTAAGCGAAGGCTCATATATGTCTTCAGTATGATCTAAAGTGGTAGCGTGTTCCACTATATCTAACTCCTTTCCGTTAACTCTATTAGGTAGTTTCCTCATTCATCGGTTTCTTATTCGCACGCCGGTAATTTAAGAAAATCGTGCCGCCGATGAGACCAAAAACTGTAAACGGCATCGCCATCAGAAAAAGGATACTCCAATTAAAACCTTTACTGATAGGCTCATCCAGTGTTTTACAAGCGGGACATGCCTCAAGGTACGTCGGTACGATGAGCACGACGAGTATCAAGACAGAAAGCCCAGAAAAACAATTTATGCATTCTAACAATTCCTTTACGAGAGATACACCAAAACGTAGAGAATTGGCCAGAGCGCGACAACAAAAATCCAGTAGATAGTACAAGTATCAACACCGACATAACGTTCAGTAGAGAAACGCCCTGCCATCGCCATGCCGAAAACTATAAACAGCCAGATAACGGCACTCAGTACATGAACAGCATGGCACCCGATGAGTACATAAAAGATACCACCATACACCCCAGATTGGAGGGTAAGCCCGTTGCGAATCAGCTGCGCCCATTCGCTTCCCTGTACGCCGAGGAAGAGTAAGCCAAGCCCTCCGGTAAGCAAAAGCCAATTGCGGAGTTGCTTCACTTGGTCTTTCTGAATTGCGCGGCGTGCTTGAAACATCGTGTAGCCGCTCAATAGAAGAAGGGCAGTGTTAATCCCAGTTATCGCACGTGGCAGTTCAATCCCCAATATGTGATGGTGGGGGCCATGTGACGTTCCCGACCCGAAATACGAGAAATGTCCCGATGAGCCCCGAAAACAGCATCGTCTCCGCACCGAGCAGGACTAATATGCCCAATCGTGCGTTGCTCAAGGGTTGGTGTCTCTGTATTTCAGAGTGATTATGTGCCATCATTCTCGTACTCTATTTCGGACGATCCGAAGAACAATCTCAACGACCGCAGCGATAATCAGTAGTAACCCGATGACACCCAAAACAGGGACGACCAGACCCCTGACGACACTTTCAACAGATTGAGATGCTTTGCTGCCCGTAATAATTGCAGTCGTTACGATGACAAACAATCCCGCAAACAGCAGGCACAGGATAATACCGAGGCGACGATTTCGTTTGCGATGCTCCAGTTCGCTCATAGTCTGCAGACTCCCGACTAAATTTTGTTCAACGCCATCGTGACAAATACCAACGGTAGATAGAGCAACGATGCGTATAACAGATAGCGTGCGGCTTTCACCGAACGTGTGCGTGCTAAATAGATCCCAACTGCCAGAAACGCCACTCCCGCCAGCAGTGCTGTGAAGAAATAGACGCTACCGGCAATGTTGTACAACGTTGGTAACAAGCCTATTCCGAGGAGCGCGACGCAATTAACCACAATTTGACGGCACGTACTCGTCCCATCCGGGTGAATGACCGGCAACAAACGAAACCCTGCATTTGCGTAGTCTTCACGATAGATGTAGGCTATTGCAAGAGAGTGTGGGATCTGCCATAAAAAGAGTATCGTAAATAGCACCCACGCCTCGCCTGTTAGCGCGCCCCGTGCTGCAACCCACCCGACGACAGGCGGGAGCGCGCCGGGCACCGCACCGATAAACGTACATAGTGAGGTTTTCCGCTTGAGCGGTGTATAGAGAAAGAGATAACTCACGACTATCAGCGAAATGACAAAACCACTCAGCATGTTGACGATGAACGTCAGGTACAGCATCCCGCTGCCTGTGAGAACAGCACCGACAAGCAGTGCAGTCAGTGGGTTCATTCTACCCCCAGGGAGCGGCCTTTCCTGCGTCCGTTTCATCTGTGCGTCTACATCGCGCTCAAGATATTGGTTGAGCCCCAAGACACCTGCGGCGGTCAATCCTGCGCCAAAGACTGTATGTAGGCATCGGAGCCAATCAACGGTCTGTTGCGCGCCGAGATAGAAGCCTGCGGCGGTCGTAATGAGTATCATCACCACCAATCTCGGTTTGACGAGTTCGATAAAGTCAGCGGCGCGAGGCACAAAAACCGTCTGCTTCGACGGTGGATTTGCCGTATCTGTATTGTCTGGTAACGTTATCGTTGTTGAACGCATCTTTTAATTTTTCCTTGCGGCGTAATAACGCAGATTTCATCTTTAACGTGCCTTCCATCTATCCGCCCTCCGCTTCGCTTACGGGCTATGGTTATGTAAAATTAACTTAAGAAAGCAACCCGCAACAGCGGCAGCGGATTTTTAATTTTTCCTTGCGGCGTAATAACGCAGATTTCATCTTTAACGTGCCTTCCATCTATCCGCCCTCCGCTTCGCTTACGGGCTATGGTTATGTAAAATTAACTTAAGGAAGCACGTTTTTGAGACTAATATTTTACGCAGAGATACGCCTCATCCTAATACCTGTCTTATTCTGTAACCAGCGCATCACTCGCGGGTGCCCCGACAACTACCGATGCATCGGTGAACCGATAGATTTTCAGGGTAAGCACAAAACTGCTCACCAGCATGAGTGCACCGACTGCGACATGCGCAGTCGTGATTGCGACTGTGAGTGCGGTTGCGAATGTTTCTCCGAAGGCGGTAAGCTTCGCGAAAAACGCCCCAGTGCCGAGCATCAACTGAATAGCAAGCAAACCCAGCAATACCAGTGGCATCGATTGTCCTATGCCCTGCGCGTTCTCATTCATTCCAAGCACACGTCTTGCCAACAAAAAGATATGTAGCGCGACGAGGAAAGCAAAGAGAAGATGCGCGTCAAGTCTGCTCCCGGTATGCCGCAAAATCGCGCCAAAGACGAGCTGTACATAAATGAGGCACGTCGTAATCAGGCTTAACCGGCGTAGCTTCTGTGCTGACGCGATTTGGGGTTCACTTTTTGGCGTAGCTTGCAAGCCAAAACTTGCTGTATAAAAGCCCTGCTGCCAATCGCGAGAGGTGAACCAAGCAATTCCACAAAGCAGTGCAAAAAACGCTTGCGCGAGGCATGCATGCACTATCGCGAAGTTGCGATTAATCTGTGTAACCCGAAGTCCACCGAGAACACCTTGTACAATGACAGCGACCAAAGCAGCGAGCCCAAGCCATTTTAGCCATTTGCGGGAATCTCTCGCCAAAAGGAAAATAAAGAGACCGACTGTCAAAAGTCCAACGAGAGAGCCCATGATCCGATGACTATGCTCGTATAGGATGCCTCCTACCATTTCCGAGAGTGGATAGAGAAACATATTGTATCCAAAGGTTGTTGGCCAATCAGGAACAGCCAACCCGGACTCGGTACTTGTGACAATCCCACCGATGACAATCAATAAGAAAGTCGCGCCTGCGGTGAAGCGTGCTATTCTGTGTAGCCATGGGCTATAACGCGTGTGTTGCTTCATGCCAAGTTTCCACCAAAGACAAAAAGGATGGAAGACAGGAGGATTGGAAGGAATAGGCGCATCCTTCCATCCACCGCTCCGTTAGTCACCGCTTGTCGCGGGCGCATGTTCAGGCTGTGCCTGCGAAATCCAATCAGATTCCTCACCGGGAACACTATATTCATAGGGGCCGCGGTAGACAGTTGGAATTTGAACGAAATTGCCATGCGGTACCGGCGTAGGTGCCTCCCACTCCAAGGTGTTCACCTGCCACGGATTCTGTTCGGCAACTTTCCCACGGTACATGCTCCAGAAGAAGTTAAAGACAAGTATCAACTGTGCAAACCCAAGGGTAAACGCACTCATCGAGATAAAGATGTTCATGCCTTCAAACCCTTGTAGGAATTCATACTGCATCGGGTTAGAGATACGCCGCATGTGTCCACCTACGCCGAGGATATGCATCGGGAAGAAGGTACAGTTGAACGCGATAAACGTCAACCAAAAATGAATTTTGGCGAGTACATCGTTCATATAGCGTCCATACATCTTCGGGAACCAGAAGACGATACCACCGAAAATAGCGAATAGACTTCCGCCAAACACCACATAGTGAATATGTGCGACAATGTAATACGTATCGTGGATGAAGATGTCAACAGGTGTGTTTGCCATGTAGATACCACTCAACCCACCAATCACAAACATTGAGACGAAAGCGATACCGTGGAGCATCGGTGCCGTGAATCGGATTGAACCTCGGAACATTGTGCCCAGCCAGTTAAATGTTTTGATAGCTGAAGGTACCGCAATGAGCATGGTTGTTGTCATGAACACAGAGCCGAGTCCGGGCTGCATTCCACTTTGGAACATGTGGTGTCCCCAGACAATCCATCCCAAAAACGCGATGGAAATCATTGCGTAAACCATAGAACGGTATCCGAAGATCGGTTTCCGTGAAAAGACAGCAATTAATTCAGAGGCAATACCCATACCGGGTAAGATGAGGACATAAACCTCAGGGTGTCCGAAGAACCAGAAGAGATGCTGCCACAAGAGCGGGTCGCCGCCGCCTTCAGCTGTTGCACTGAAGAACGTCGTTCCCGCAAGTCTATCAAAGATGAGAAGTGCGAGCGCAGACGACAGCACGGGGAAGGCGAGTAGCAACAGGATCGCGACGATGAAAAGAGACCAGATAACTAACGGGAGTCGGAAGAACGTCATCCCGGGTGCGCGCATATTGATAATCGTGGTGATATAGTTAATAGATCCGACCATCGAGGAAAATCCTTGAATGAGCAGACTAATCGCCCAGAGGTTTTGTCCCCAGTCGACACCTGTCCACTGCGGATCGGAGGAGAGGGGTGCGTAGCCTGTCCATCCAGCAGCCGCGTGACCGCCTGGGACAAAGAACCCGACTGTCATGATAATTGCGGCGAGGACTGCGAGCCAAAAGGAGATCATATTGAGGAGAGGAAACGCCATATCGCGTGTCCCAATCATCAACGGAATCAGGAAATTTCCGAAAGCCCCCACCAAGATCGGAACCACGACGAAGAACACCATAATAGTGGCATGCATCGTAAACAACATGTTGTAAAATGCCGGTTCGACGACCCCACTGGGCATGTTTACCTCAAGCCACTCCTCTTGCTCGGATTCATAAATTTTCTCCCACATCCTGTCAGCACCTGTGACAACTTCACCTTCATCAAGGTACTGTTGCGAGGCACCGATGATAGGTAGTGGTTTTTCGGGATAGGCGAGTTGCCATCTAAAGAGGAGGGCGAGCCCACCACCGACGAAAAACATAATCAGCCCGTAGATGAGGAACTGCTTGCCGATCGTCTTGTGGTCGAGCGAAAAGATGTATTTGCGAATAAAACTTTCTTCGTGATGATGTGACGTATGTTCGTTATCGTGCATATTTATTGTCCTTCTTGAGCCTGCTGAGGCCATCTTTCTTGCAGCCACGCATCGTAGTCCGCTTGCGTATGCACATTGAGGTAGCCGAGCATTCCGGAGTGTCCGAATCCACAGAGTTCAGCGCAGGGTATCTCATATCGTCCCGCCTTTATCGCCTCGAACCAGACATTGATAAATCGGTTGGGCAAGGCATCCTGTTTGAGCCTTAATTGCGGCACGAAAAAACTGTGAATGACATCCACGGCGGTTAATCGGATATGCACGACCGAGTTGATTGGTACATGCAGCTCATTTTCCAATACTAAGTCGTCGTCTGTCCCGAATTCGTTATCGGGTCCGGGATAAGTCATATCCCAGTTAAACTGTTTTCCACTGACCTGGACAACAACATCTGGATTCTCAGGAAATTGCGTGGGCGACTTAATATTGTTCCACTGCGGGTAACTGAGCATCGCGAGTCCAAAGACAATTACCGTTGTCGCGGCGGTCCAGATAATTTCCACCGTTGTGCTACCCTCAATGTAGTGTGCCCTCTTCCCTTCCTGATGACGATACTTAATCAGGAAAACGATAAGGGTTCCCATTACAAGGATGAACACAACGAGGGTAAGATAGTAGATAGCGTAAAAGAGGTTATCAACGCTTTGCCCGAACGTTGATACGTTCTCTGGGAGCCATTGCAGCATAAGCCCTCCTTAACAGCGCGTCTCGCTTATTGATAAAGTGAAAACGCGTAAAATTTTTGTTTCTAACACGTCTAATTCGTTTGTGCAGACGCGGTGAGTGTTGCCCCCACAAACGTCAAAGCACAAAACAGACCGGTAATCAGCATAGAAAGTGCCCAAGTCGGTCCCTCTCCAATTGCTTTCACGGTGGTGTCAAGGTAGAGGCTCTGCCGAAAAGCGGCGAGCCCATACGTTAACGGATTGAGTTTCATTGTCCATTCTAACCAACCGGGCACACCCGTACTTGGAAAAAACGCGCCAGAGAGTAGCCATATCGGAATCAGCAGGAGATTCATAATCGCATGAAACCCTTGCGTTGAGTCCATCCGCCACGCGATGAGTAGTCCAAGGTTTGTCAAGCCAAACGCCAAAAGTGCCATCACACCGAGCGTGACAAAGAGCGATGCTGCGCTGAACCGGATGCCAGTCATGGGTGCGAGTATTAGCAACAACACCCCTTGTAAGACGGACAGTGTCGTCCCGCCTAATGCTTGGGCAAGCACAATACGCCACCTTGGCACAGGAGCGACAAGTATGCCCTGCAAGAAGCCTTCGCGCCGATCGTTCACGACAGAGATTGTAGCGAAAATTGACGTAAAAAGCAAGACTAAAACAACGATGCCGGGATAAAAGTACTCAATATAACTGAGTCCGCCTGCTGCACCGGATGGTTGAAAAGAAGCATTCAACCCGCTTCCAATGAGAAGCCAAAATACCAAAGGTTGCGCAATAGCACTGAAGAGGCGACTCCGTTGGCGATAAAATCTAATGATTTCGCGCCACCATATCGTTGTAATCGGTAGCAGAAAACTCTGCATTTTTTAATTTATGGGCTCCTGGACTGCCCTCCACTTCGTTTCGGTCAGGTTTTCAAACATCCTGTACGTCCTTCATAAAATCGAAACCCAAGCCTGAAATGTAATGGAAGGCGACTCTTAAGCACAGCACTCCAAATTTCAATTACCGGTCATTTAACCGCAAGGAAAAATTAAATAACGGATTTCCCGTCAATTTTATGAACACATCCTCCAGTGTCGGTTTCCCAAATCGAACCGATTGAATCTCATCTGGAAACGCGGCAACTATGTCCTGGACGAACTCATGTCCCCGTTCACACTCAACACGAATCAGATTACCCGCCAACACCGACGAAACGCCGAATTTCTTAGCAATTTCGGTGCAGAGGACTTCGTTGTCTATGCACTCTATGAGGATAACATCGCCACTGACTTGTGCCTTGAGTTCATCAGGCTCTCCAAGGGCGACCAATTTGCCCACATCCAGAATACCTATTCTGTCGCACGCCTCGGCATCATCGAGTAGGTGCGTTGTCAGCAGAACGAGAATATTCTCTGTATCCGCGAGTGCCCGGAGATAGTCATTGAGTTGCCGGCGTGCCGCTACATCCAATCCGCTTGTCGGTTCGTCAAGGAGTAGAACACGGGGGGAATGGAGCATGGCTTTCGCGATTTCAACCCGTCTTTGTAAACCACCGGATAAGCGTTCAACACGTTCCTTCGCTCTGTCGGCGACTCCAAAACGTTCGAGAAGTTCCGAAATTCGGTAACGCAGGGTTTTGCCAGCAAGCCCATAGAGGTGTCCATGGTGCCGCAAATTCTCGACAACGGTGAGTTTGCCATCCAGCCCTGGGTGTTGGAAAACAACCCCCAAGAGACTCCGAACTGCTTTCACCTCGGTGGTTAAGTCGTGTCCGAGGACACGAACGGTTCCGGAGGTGACCGGCATCAGTGTGGATAGGATTCTAAAGAGAGTCGTTTTTCCACTACCGTTCGGTCCGAGGAGTCCAAAAATCTCGCCGCATGAGACGTGAAAACTGACACTGTCGAGCGCACGCCGTGTCTGATATGCATGCGAAAGATTTTCTACCTCAATTCGGCTGTCGGCGTATTGGCTATCGGCTGTCGGCTGTCGGCTGTCGGTTAAGAGGTTTTCGTTTAACAAAGGTTTCCTCTTGTAACTTTAACCATTAACTCGACTCCGATACAAGACAGCAAAGCACGAGTTAATGGTTAAGACAGTCGGCGTATTGGCAATCACCAATCAGTTTCCGTCGTCGACGGTTATCGTGCTTGCGAAGACTTTTAAGTCGCACCACCTGCTGAAAGCCGACGGCTGACGGCTATTCTTGCTGACTGCTGACTGCTACTTAAGTTTCAGCGTGAAATTTTGCGTGACGGTGCCGCCAGCTTCCACGGTAACGGAGGCAGGGGAACCGCTGTTTGTGCCACACGCCTCATGCCAATAACCGAGTTTATAAGTGCCAGCGGGAACATCTTCAAGTGTGAATTCACCCTTTTCATTCGTCACAGCAAAATAAGGATGCGGTACGTAAGCGATCCAAGCAGACATCCATCCGTGAATGTCACATTTTACGGACACAGGTCCCTCCGTCTTCTTTACACCAGCAATCGCATTTTCTTACGGTTTTTCGTTTGCTGTTTGTTAACCGGCTTGTTGATACTACTGAAGATATGGACGTTGTGATTAACTTTATCGTTATTGATCATTGTTAACCGAGCACCGACCGGGATAACCTGGACATGCGGATTAAATTGGCAGCCCTTCTGGTCGATTTCGGGTTTGGCTGTTTTGTCAAAATCTTTGCCTTTTGAAATGTCGATTAGGTAGACAATCGTATTTTTTAAAGCGTTGCCTTCACCAACGACAAGCGTTTCATCGTACTTTTCGGTAGCACCACAAATTGCTTGATCTTTGGTGATTTCCAGCATTTTCATCTCAGGCATGTCGCCTTCAAACGTCACCATACCGCTAATTGTGCCGCCACCGCTAACGCTCGCAGCAGTATAGGAATCGGGAAATACTAACATTTCCATTTCGCCTGCATCGCTGTCAGCCGCAAAAGCACTACTGACATAACAGCACGCGAGAAGTATAGCGAGACTTGCCAAAAGATAGGTTTTCATTTTTTCTCCTTTAATGGTTAATTGATTATTCATTATGAGTCATAGATTCTTCTGAATTTCTCCGCTGTACGACTGCCCGTAAACCGAAGAGCAAGCCGAGAGAGAGAATTGCAATCAAAGGCGGATAAACGAACCGTCTTGAAGACGGAACGGGTTCAAGTACAAAAGTATACCAACTGGACATGGCCCGTTTTGTGTCAACATCGCCGTTCGCACCATCCCATGCAGAGAAGGCGATAGGCACGAAAACACCGGATTCAAGTTGCAAGTCTTTCTTGTCATCGGTCTTCAAGGCACGTTTCACCCACAATTTATATTGCCCTTCTGTATAGGTGCCTTTTACTTGCAGGTTGCCTTGCACTTCCTGGACTTGAGCATTGCTCATACCCTTAGCAGTGACCTCAGTCAACTGGTCAGGTGCAGAGGCTTTCCAATGCCATAGGTAGACCGGAAGTCTACCGCCCGATAAGAAATAGGGCTTCGGTGCGGTCGGTCCTTGCGGCACCTTCACCGGAAATTGAATCGCCAATGCGTCCTCAACGGGGTTTACCTGTCGTTTCATCCGTTTCGTCACCAGTCGTGTGCGTCCGATCGTCCCATGTGAAAAGGAATACGACCTCTGTATCATTGTAAAACGATTTGATGTTCACGGAATCAATTGTTGGGTTAAACTGTCGAGGTTCGATGACGACTTGCCCCACAAGGGGGAAGTGCCTGGATTGAAGCGTTTCCCACGCGTCATCCTCCATTCCCGGCAACTCGCCTTGAACGTATTGAGAGCGGAGGGCGTTATTCCCAATCGCCGCGTCAGGACGTTTTTCAGGCGCAAGCGATTTAACGTAGTTCGCCAAATGCCAACTCTTTTCATAGACGACTTTCATCGCGTCATCATACGTTTGCTGCTCAGCTACACTCAACTCTGTGCCTTCCGTTCGATTGAGTGCGATGTCAACAGCGGTGTCCATTTTTTCATAAAACTGCCCGGATTCCTCTTCCTCTGCCTCCGTCATTTCGTCTTTGTTTTCCAATTCGGTGAGGCGTTTGGATTCTTCTGCTGTCAATCCAAAATGCAGGAAACTATCCCCTTCAAATGCGGGCATGGGTGACCCGGCGATACCGCCGATGAATCGCTTGAAGATGTCTTCGGTGTCAGCACCACCGCGAAAATTCCAACCTTGGGTCAGATTTGCGGGCCACGTCCGAAAGCTCCATTCGTCAGTCAGCGTGGGAGCCGACGTGCCATCCCCGCGTCCAACGTTACCGTGGCATTCCACACAACCGAGTTCAGTATAAAGTCCCTTTCCGGTTTCGACGCTCTGTTCGGCGTAAGAGATTTTACCTTCAAGGCTGATTTCCCGTGGCGGTGTTTCACTCTCTTTAAACCCATCGTTGAAGGTCTTGATATAAGCCACTACTTCCCAGCGATCACCGGCATTTAGGGCGGTTTCCCACCCCGGCATTGACGATCCGGGCATCCCTATGGTAATAATGTTAAACAGGTCTTGATCCGTCGGAAGTTGACCGCTCTCCGTAGAACGAATCTTATACAAACCGCGTGTGAAATCCCTCGGTTTTGGAAGGAGATTCTCAGCAGCAGAACCGTCACCTCTACCTTCGGTCCCGTGGCAATGCGCGCAGCTTTGCTCATACACCGCTTTCCCTTTCTCGGAGGCTTCGGGGGCATTCTGCGCGTGCGCTAACATAACAGCACCCAGCATTCCCAAGACCAGCATCAGGAGAGTTACATTTCTGTTTCTCATCTAATGGCCCTCCCCAAAAGTTCGTGGCTGATGGCCGGTGTAGTCGGATAGAAAGAGAATCACGTCCCAAATTTCGTCTTTTGTCAAGTAGTTTTCCCAGATAGGCATCGCCGAATCCCAAGGCGTGCCAGCCGCCGGCAATCCGGGTCCGCCTTTACTAATTCGCCAGAACAGGAAAGACTCTTGGAAGTTAGGGATAATCCCCGGATCTTGGAAATTAGCGGGAAGCGGTTGGAGGTATGGTGCAAAATGTCCCTGCCCATCAAGGTGATCCCCATGGCAGACAAAGCAGTTATCATAGTAGACGCGTCTGCCGTTTTCAACATGCGCTTTGAACGCTTCTGGATCATCCTTTTCATAGTGTCGAAACGGGCTTTCGGCTTCTTGCATGGTGCCGATAACTTCATCCTTATAGGTTAATTCAAGAGGCGGTGATGGATGTGCATCACGTGGATTCCCGGGTGGGTTGTCCGCTGCGCAATAATCGAATAGGTATAACCGAGTAGAAACAACGGGATTAACACCGCAATCACGCGTCGGCGGACACGGCGATTGTCATCGACGAGTGTTTCATGAATAGGACGTAAAAATTCACGGAACTGCGAGTCCTCAACGGAGATATGCACCAAGATGGCGATTACAATTAACCCCATATACATCGCAACCACGCTACCCGGTATCGGTACTGAGATGACACCCCCTACGATAAATCGCAGGAAGATCCAAGAAGCAACGAGAATTATGAGACATATTGTGAAGAGCGACAACTTTTTCATGTTTTTAATTATTAAGTTTCTGCTCTGCCTTCCACTTCGTTTCAGGCAGGCTTTTGGTTAATTTGAGACTGGATTTGAAACTTTCCAAACAATTATAGTAGATTCTGTAATTACTTGGACACTCGTATCGTAGTGCGAACTATGAAGTTGCGGCTCACGCTGGCACAAGCTAACGGTTTCCTATGCTACAAGTGTAAACATATTTTTGGATTTTACTATAAAAGAAAATTCTTTACTTCAGACATTACGGGAGCAGGGATGCCATCCTTGCCAGCGACGGCATGGACTCTGTTCACCATAGCACGAGAGGAGAGACAAAATGAAAATGTTTAAATTTTCATTTCTCCCGTTGTTCGTTATTCCGCGGGAGCACCCTCTGTTTCCTCCGGTGCTGCTTCCGCTGTCGCGCCAGTGAGCGTGCTTAAGAAAGAGAGCAAATTGCTCATATCCGATACTGATAACAGCATCGGGAAGTTTTCGGGCATCGGCGATGTAACCAGTAACTTTTTACCAAAGGCACGGGTAAAAGTAGCCTCCTCAAGATCAAACGTATCAAATACCTCTTCGCTTCCGTCAACCATTAGGACAATTTCGTCGTCGTCCATCGAGCCTGAAACGTATTCGCCAACAATTTCATCGTCATCAAAAGTGACAAGGGTCATCTGGCTTTTCACATCTGTCTTAGAAAATGTCCGATCTTCGCCGCCGACCTTTAGCGTCACAGTATCATCGGTCTCTGAAACGATTTCACCGCTTACGGGAGCATCTGCATCCGTAGGCGTTAGCGTCAACGTGAAATAACCTCTCGCTTTCAGATTCGTGAGATCCTCAATCGGTTCATCATCAAGTTCGCTCAACAAGAGGGTGTGCTCCTCTTCCACGCCATCCGCTGTTTTGGTTCGGACGACAATCTTTTCTGTATCCTGTGAGACAAGCGTTCCCTGAAAGGTTGTTCCGTTGGCACGGATGGTAACGGCACCGTAACCGCTTACAATTTGCGCGCTGGGTATCAGGACTGACTCCTCAAGGTAGCGCATGTTATTAAAGGCGGCTATTTCGGAGAGATCTGGTGCAGTGACGACTTCAAAGTCTGTATCGGTTTCACCCGCTGCCGGACTTTCTATACCTTGTACTACATGGCATGAGATACACGCGGTACTCACAAAAACCTTTTTACCCAGATCTGGGTCACCGGTGAGCAGGGGTGGAAGTGCTGCAGCGGCTGTTGCGGTGTCTGCGCGATCTATAGGTTCATCAAACGGAGTCGGATCAATTTCGCCGCCTTGACTCTGGAGATAGGCGATAACCGCCTCAATCTCTAATTTAGAGAGCGACGATCGGGGCTTTCCAAATCTCTGGCATAATCTTACCGTATCCGGGGACAAGATATTTAGCAGGCTCATAAAGCGATTCAATGAAATAAGCTTTGGCATCCATGCCGGGGACGCGGCTGGCGGCGTTAATGCCGATGTCTGTGAGATCGGGACATCTCCCTTTCGGTGCAGAGGTATCGACGGTGTGGCACGCGCTACACTGACCCTTTCCATTAAACACCAAGGCACCTTGCTCAGCAACTGCGTCTGGGTCGCTCCAATCGAGCGCAGTCAGATTCACTGCTGTGGAACTTTCCGGGACAAGGCCCGCGACAAAGGCGTAAAACCATATCACGGCAAGTGAGAACGTCAACAATTTCATGACGTTGGACCACAAAACGATGTTTACAATCACCGAGATGAGAAACCAGACCGACCACGGCAGCAAGTGCTCCGAGGCAATCGGAAACGCAGATGCGCCAGCAATATAGGCGATGAAACTCACCACCATTAAGATTAGACTCGCAATTTTTATGAGTGTGCTCTTTGACATATTTTTAACTATTAAGTTTTCGCTCCGCTCTCCATTACATTACGAGCGGGTTTCTGATTAAGTACATCGGGGTTAAGATCCGATTTTGGTTTGGACCCTGAACCGCCTGACAACCATAGACATGTATCAACCCTGGCAGCAGTATGTATCAACCCTGGCAGCAGTCCTGACATCAGCCTCGGCATCATCTATAGCGGTGGCTGCAAGCGAGCCTTCTGGGGGCTCGGACCGCCATGTGTCAATGATTGAAACACTCTCAACCACCCAAAGCAATGAGATGCTGAAGACTATCCAAACCATCAAAAGAAGCGAACTCATATCTTTCTTCATGATGCTTCCGTGATACTACCCACTACCTAAAGGTAGGGGGCTTCGG